ATTATGACGATGTGGGTTCACCTGTGATGATAATTTAGATATTCTATAGCACACTGTCACTAGACGTTTCACATGATTGTTATTCCTTTTTGTCGTCCCGCTCTACTTACCGAGGTTTTGGCAGCCAGGTAGTATCACTAGGCCTCACAAAATAGGTGTTACCCATTGCCTACTGCGCAAATGTGCACAAGGTTGCTGGGTTCGTATTCATTTTAATCAGGCTTCTTCATGGAATTTGTTACCCACCCCCGCCCAAAACGGGGTAAATGTTATCATTAAATAAGAAGGTTAATCTGTTTCGTCTGGTGGTCTATTTTTAGTCAAGTCTTAATACATACAGTTGACATTGCATCAACCTTAGTTGGTTACCGAAATCATGATTATGACGATCGTACAAACAATGCATCACTTAGCAAGTTTGTATGGTATTGAATAATTTGAAAAGTGGTTTTCATAACAGATCAGCATAAGAGAGAGAGAGAGGTAGGTAAGTATGGACTGATATCAGTTGGAGAAGCATTTGAAACATGGGATCACTCAACGACGGCATTGGATGGAGTTTGCGCTATATTATGAAATGACAGAAATAGATGTGAGCAAATAGATTCCAACTCAGTGGACCCCATGGTAACGTGGTGGCAGTGGAACTTGAAGGTCTTGGATTCGATCACTGGCGGGGTTATGGATACGCACTGTTGAGAAGTCCCATGCTAGGACCAAAAGAGCTGTCCAGTGCTCCCAGGTTTCTAGTGTTTCTCCAACTGATGACGGTTAATGGTGAGTACCAACCTGAAACTAATAAATAAGTCCCTGCAAACCTCAAAAATGAATTATTAGTTAGTATTTATGTACTTTCTTATTCGACTTATGTAAAACAGTAGTATATATCTTCCTCATATTTGATGATCCAGACACCGGTGTTATCGTAATTCTGAGGTAGTTAGGAGGTAACTGTATATCAAAGTAAATGTAACCTGCTCAGGACTATTTCTCTTAGAGAAAAAATATCGATAGATAGACAGACAAACAGAAAAGTGAATATAGACCTGAAGTGTATCAGTTCAAGTTGGCGCACTTCATAACAGGATCGATAAAGTGAACGTAAAGAAAAAGTAACTCAAAAACAGAAATGATCATTAATGTGATGTTTATAATTTGGTTGATGATAAAGATTGAGTACATATCTGTGACAGTAGGTGATCGATTTTCAGCCATATCAAAGAAGTCTACAAACCATTGATTCGTAACATTTTAAGAAGCTGGAGTGAGATGGCTCCCACACTTTCCTAAACAATTTAATTTGACAATCGGTCACCCTCATAGGCGTTTTACCACATCTTGGCTTGATCATCTCAAACTTCTAAACTAATCCTAATCCAGGTAATAAAATAGGGTAAAAAATGGGTTACCATGCATTACACGTATTCTGGTCACGCCAGTCGGTACTGACATGCAACATACATTGCAAAATAATCGATAGAATTGGACCAGCGTTCAGGACTAAACAACGTGACATTGGTTGCTTTCCAGTGACCGATCAGTGCATATAATCCATTCCTACAGGAGGTCAGTCGCAGCCCAAATAACCTAATGGTAAAATGTCTGACTGATTACAACTCTGAGTAATGTGGTTTTTGATTTCACATGAGACATCACTTCCCTTGAGGTTGCAGATACGCTTTGCTGACGAGTGTCAACAAGCGAAAAACCTAAGTTGAGGAGGGATTCTCGGTGACTACCTCCAATCAACTAACTCACTTTCTCTGAACTTAACGTTGCTCTTTCTCTCTCATTCTCTTTCTCCAGAATACCTTTTTATGTTACTCTTTAATTCAAGCATACTCTAATGTTTGATAATTTTCAAACTTTAAACATTAAATACTACCTATTATCTATGAGTTCTTTGTTGGTAAAATGAACCAGTTTTATGTAGTGTTTGCTATATACCCCTAATTTTGCATAACGTTGGCCTGATGTTTGCCTATAACCGTGACTGTGACTAACTTTCGTTTTCCTATTACTCTAAAGCCTGAACTCTCATTGGTTGTTCACTCTTTTAACCTATATATGGATTAAGTGTTGTCAAGGTCATTTAGAAATGTATATATTTTTAGCATTGCTCTCAACTGTTTGTGACTGTTGTTGAGACAGTAAAAGCTCTCTGTCAACGGTCTGTCTTCTCTTCTTGTCTTGTACGTCGGTGGTATTGTTGTTGTGGTGGCGGTGGTTGACGTTCTGATTAGCATTCAGAGTCGACTCGTTTTGCGCGTTATGTTCGTATCGCCCATTGGCTGTTAAGTTGAAGCACCGATCATAACTGTTGCATAATGAGCCACTTGGATAGAAATGTATCAAGTTTCAGCTCAGTCGCTCAGTTTGGGAATTATTTATAAATCTCTTTGTCTCCACTTTGATATTCATAATAATTAAATAGTCTTTTTAACTGCTTAAATGTTGTGTCAGCAGGAATTTCGAAAAAACACCTGGCCAGGATGACAATATGTGATCTCTGACAAAAAGGTGTCATGAGCCAACGAAGAAATATATTACTGAACAACAGAAATAAGTACTTAGAAATCACTCACCATGATCGGTAATTTCCAGTAATAATTAGATCAGAATAATCGAAATATTCGAAAATCTTTACGTTTCATAAGATGTAGGAAGATGAACTGTGCCATCTGTAAGTGACGTATAAATTCATCGTCCAGTTTTTGGTTCACTAAGTCATCTAATCAAAATTCTCACGTGACTTGAATGGTCTGATTTCGTCAGCTAAATATTCCTCCGAGGATATCACTGATGAGCTCAATGTGAAATAATCAAGGCAACTATAAAGTGCTTAGATCACTGTGATCTGAATAACGAAACCTACCTATCAACATTGAATAGCTTCGAACTACTAATATCGAACAGCAGTAAATTTGGAAAAATTTAGTTCTTAATCTTTTTGTGTTATTCATAAAATATAAATTGTTCATTATTTATTATTTAGTGGTTGATAGAGGTTAGTTTCAGCACAAAAACTGTCGTCATTATTATTGGTTCAGGTTATTTTCATATGTTGATGTGTTTGTTTACTTTGGTGTTTTATTCAGTTGAATTGAAAGATGGAAGCAGTTGCTTAGTTCAGTTGATGGGTTAGCTGGAAACGGATAGCTTGTAGCACTTCCCAACATTTGATTGATAGCTTTCTCTGTATTCTTGTCACAATGAGTACGTCGTATTTCACTTTAATTTCGTCTCACTGTTTCTGTTTTATTTTATGTACAATGGTATGGACTGGTTTAAGCATCCCCTAGTGAACTAATCTCTATCGGCGTTCGAATATAACAAATTGTTGTGTATGCTGTTTTGGGGATGTTCATGATAATTGACTGGCTCAGTCTACTGTTCTAAAATTGTCACATGTTAGTTACCCGTGTCTATTCACAACTTTATGCGTAAACTCTGCTTGCTAGTCAGCGTTGCGATTGGTTGATTCACGTGATTCTAACAATTCAGTCTTGACTCTGACCTTGCACGTGATTGGTGAAATACAGACTGACCCAATCTCGTGATCTGAGTGACTTTAAAGGCCACCTTAGCAACTGATGAAACAACCAATCTCGTCTCTCTATTCTGTGCAAAATAGTCATCGCAGACGAAATAATGTAATTTGATTGGTTATTTTGTCTGTTGTTAGGGTGGTCTTTAAAGTCACCCCGTATACTCAATACGCCGAGATGATGAGTCACACAATTCAATCGTCCACTGCAACCGCTGATAACCGAACACAAAGTCTGGTACTTATTGTCCACATATATTTCAGATGATCTGATTCATCTACATGCATACGGCTAAATTACCTGACCACAAGGCACGATATTTTGTAAAGACAAAACAACCAGTTCTAAGCATACAAAATATGGGATAATGCATAGTCAATGGTGCATTTCTCTCAACATGCAACTATTACCAAACTATAAGTCGAACATAAATGGATGAGGGATTAGATGGCTATCGATACCTCTTCAAATTCGATAATATTACCAATTACGTCATAAGTGAAAAGACGTCTTAGGTGATATGGCAGTTTTAAGACATGAGCTTTTAACTGTGAAAACTTCAGTTTATCTACAATCGACTGTTGTTTTTTTAATTAAAACTCGTTTTATTTTTTCTATTTTGTTGTTCTTCTTTTTTCCAAAATTTAAAACATAAATACTAATAACACTTTATGATGATGATGAATATCAGCACAACTCATTGAATGTAAGTTGTGAAATAACTTCTGGTAGTGATGGTGTTGTGTCTGGTTGGTCCAATCCATTCTTTGAACCTGTTGTCCCATGGCGTAAAAGTTCACGTCAACCCAATCCTCACCGCCATAATCATGAACAACAACAACAACACTATTACACACGTAATATGAATAGTTTTCGTAAGAAATTCTCTTCGCGACGATTGAAATTCACTCATCAACGAACTATTGACGATAATGACGGTGTAAACGGTGTCAAAGATTCATTGGATATGCGTGCATCACAGAGTACTGGAGATCTGGTATTGTTCGACCACATATTAGCTACTTTTGTGTTCATTGTATTTGCACATTAGTTTTTGCGCGCTTTTATTATTATTTACTCATTCATTTATTTGCTGTAATTCGAATATATTTTAGCCAAAATTATTTTCTATTCACTGACTGCTTTACAGATTATTTACTTCTAGTTTGTTGAGTCTGTGTTCCTCTGTATAGATTTACTTACATTTTGGTGAATATAAACGCACGAATCAAAGTTGTTTTTTTTCACAGCTTTAAATGTTGTCATCTTGTCTCATGCACACACATTCACTTTATACTAATAACTAGTTAGTAAGTTCGACTGGTAAATACTGCACTCAACGCCTATCTGTATATGGTTATAGTTATTGGTTGTGATTTTGCATTACCAGTATACTGTAGTTATTTCAATCATCTAACTGCATTTTTTCTGCGCCTTTCTTTTCTTCTCTAGAGTGTTGTAAATTTAAAGACGATTGCTGATTTATGTGATCCAAATCGAATTAAACGTCAGGGAACATTTCATCAAACAACTGGGTAGGTAACAGATTTTATGTGAACTGTCGTCTTTTTTTTAAATCGAGATTATTGTTGAATCTATAATTATGCTTGTTTGACTTTATTTAAGACACGTCAGCTGGTAGATGTACTTGAATCGCAGTTCGTAAATGTACACCTATTGAGATCCAAAACTCAACACACCCATCGCTTCAAATGTTAGAACGTTATTCACTGGGCTAGTGAGTTATAAGAATCACCCATTGTTATGATTTAAATTATAAAGTTTCTCATCATTGGTTCTACTGAAGCAAATTGATCAACTTATGTTGACAAATAGGCGTCGTTGTATGTATGCCTGGATAATGTCATAATCCACGTTTTGGTTAGTGGTAAGTTAGCGTTTCAGGGATGCATGTACATTCAGTCAACATCCTGGACAACGCCTCTATCTAGCTTACATTTCCCGAGTTTTACGCTATCGTTGGGATTCATCAGGAAGGCATATCACATACTTGTGGCATGAGGCGTGATGACTGAAATATCCAACCAGCAATTGACCGCCAGTAGGATTACATGTATATATTTACTGATTCCAAAGCCCACACATTCGGGTAGCAGTTAGTATTTGGCGATATCAGATGACTTGGTTTTAGGTTGCTGATGGGATGCAGTATACTCATTCACATCTTATTCTTCTCAAAACTTGAGTATACTATCAGTTTTTTAATTTTTCTATCCTAGTTAGTTGAGTTTTTATTTTCAGTGAAAGAAAAAAAACTGTTTTTGTTGATTTTCACCTCTTGTTGTGCTAATTAAGTGGATATAAAGATTTAAACTGATTTTGTATTCTGACAGGTTTTTATATTTCACCAGTTATTCAACTATAAAGATGATTTGGAAGCATGCTGTTTAGCAGTATCCACATAGCTGTCACCTAGGCGTTTTTTTATATTTTACTGTCAATACGTTTACATGAAAATACACACCTGTAGGCATCAATCTTAATATTATTATTGTTATATCCTGCTGCAACTCACATTTTCATTTCACCTTCAATCATCCATTATTCACCATCAATATTTATCGCCTATTGACTTGTCTGTGATAAGTCCTACTCTGACTGACTGACTGACTAATCAGTTTATCAATTATAATTTTAAAAAGTGTGATATTACTGATGCTAACACTATTTTGTTGTGCTATGAGTTTCGTATACTTGTCAACGTGTATATTTTTATTGAAAAACTAACCGAAGCTCGAACAGTATATCTAAAGCTTTTTTTAAATGGGAACCAACCATCAATATATTTCTCAGTACTAACTGAGTTTCAGTGAAGCAATAAACATTTATTCTGTTTTTACCATGAGACTTGAAATTTCTATTCATCATTCTCCTGAAGTCAACTGGAGTTTCGTAAAACAGATCCGTCAGTTAGTCACCTGATAGCTGCTACCTTGTCTTGGTTGTCGGACTTGCATATCACAATGACCCAATGAGCTAAACTGGTTGGAACGTTTGTTCAGTTTCTGTCATATCAAGAAGATCTGTTGGATAGTGATAAGTCGTAAAGCGGTTCGCTTTATAGTTTAAATTGCCAAGTTGTGATAGGGAGACGAGGGTGAAGTCGTGGTGCTATCTGGTTAGAGTGTAAAAACAGTAACGTGTTTCCTGCAGATGACCAGCAGTAACATGCCTAAGTCTCTTTCCCTACGGAAAGCGAGGGTTAGAAAAGATCGGACTCAAAAATAGCACACTCCACCTTGCCCTGCAGTCTTCCGGTGCCGGTGGTATTTTATTTTCCCCTTACAACTTCTTCAAACTGTCACTGAGACCATTTTCAACGATCCAAGCCATCGAAAACTTATTCCTAGCCACCCAAGATGCTGCTGTCAGTTTTGCATGGGATCCTTCAGTGTTTGAACCCTATACCGAATGCATCGCTCTGGAGAACTCTGAGATCTCGAGCTGTAAATGTATGCTGTAATTTTGAGACATGTATACAGGGCCCGAGTTTAGCTGTTCACTTGAAGTTACCTGGCCAGGGCAGTTAATCTTCAGAATTCACTTCAAGTGTGTAAGCAAACTTACTGGCTAGCTCTCGTGAAACCGTTGCTGTAGACATAGCATGACGTTATATGCTGTTCGACTGAAAGTATCATTCAACTGCATCTTCCAAGGTTCGAAGATTTTCACTAACCTTCATTTTTGAATTCCTTTTCCTCTCATACACTTTTATCTACTTTCTATCCACTTGATCTTTGCATACGACTGTAAATTATAGTAACTGGAGCTGATGCATCTGTGTACGAGGTTCTGTTTTGATTTAGTCTATTTATCTGTCTATCAATCAGTCAGTCAATTGCTCAAATAATATCAATATGGGGTCTGACATTACTGCCTGGTGGTTCGAGTATCCTTATCTTACATCAATACATCATGGCGGTAGGCAAAAAGATGAAACGAACGAAAATAAGGAAGGAAGTACTCAAAAGTAGTAAAAACATCAGAAAAGAAAGAAGAAAGAGATAGAACAGTGATGAAATTCGTGATAACAACTAATATATATACACTGATGAAAATAAGGCATGAATTAGCACTCGGTTACTATCAAAGATAATCCTCATATAATTAAATGCAATGGTGAGACATTCGCTACCCACTTTAGTTATTTAAATCAACAGTGATAAAGTTCAGGATTAAAATAATGAAAACCAGATAATTTTGGCTTAAGGTGACGAACAATTAGATACCTTGCAGTGTACTATAAAATAACTTTTTTGTGTGGAGAATCACTTTGTTTCCATCACTAATTTACAATGAATTACTGTGTTACTACTTCAAAATAATTTGCAATTTCATTGAAAATATTTTGCTGTTGTATATGGATCTATTTATTTGATCTCACTAATTATGACTCACTTTTATAAAGGAACTAGTGTAAACATCTTCACTGAAAACATATGCATGAATGAATGACGACTGACCTCGGATGGGACTGGGTTGAGTATATTGTTTGGTTACTGGAGGGTAACCAACTTTATTTTGTCTAATCCTAAGTGCTGATTGATTCCTATCCATTATTTTGCAATGTGGCTGCCAAGCTAGAAAGCTCACCATTGCGATGCACTGAGGTTGATGTTGGTATGAGGCAGTCTGTAGTAGTCCCTGCTCCACTCAGGTTTCGTGCTTGTTGAAACTTGTCAGCAAGGCGTATCTGCAATCTTGGTAGATCTGATGTTCCACCCACGTGTTTGAAATAACTGTGGTTACCAATTCTTTCCTCATACAATAGTTGAGTTATGTAACCGTGTTGATAAAACACCGAGTTGGTGATTTGAAGATCGATGGTATGGATCTTGTCATGATAGAGGTTTTCTTCTAGGTTTACTGATCATTGCTGTTTATGTCTACCGCTTTTTATGTTAACCACAGTTTTATTGATCCCTAGAAGTACGATCTCACCTCGCCTGGTTAACTAGTTCACTAGTTACTAGCCAGTCGTAAGCCCGGATAAAGAGGGAAGGTTGGGCATAGGGCTAGCAACCCTACCCCGTAAAACCAATTTAATCGCTAGAGAAACTTCAAAGCACAAAGAAATTATAAAGCATAAACACAAACTTATTCCTCGCAGTGGCTATCATGATGTCGCCAAGAGCAGCAAAGTCTCTAAAGCAGTGGGAACCAGTCTCCTCCAGGATCATGACAGCAAGATTCAACTCAAAAGGAAGGAAAGTTACAATCATTCAATGCTACGCGCCAACAAATAGTGCAGATGAAGAGAGGAAGGAGGAATTCTACAGACAACTGCAATCAGTATTGGACAACACCGCACTCTAGTTGGCGACATCAAAATTCTAATTGGTGGGGCGACATAAATGCCAAACTGTGAGTGAACAACACAGGAAGAGATCTCATCCATCATGAGTCGAGAAGCACTCGTTGAAATGAATGAGAACGGAGAACTGTTTGCAGACTTCTGCGCATTTAATGGTTTGGTGATTCGAGGCAGTGTGTACAAACACAAGGATATTCACAAAGCGATATGGAATTGATTTCACCAGATGGACACACTAAAAATCAGGTCGACTTCATCTCAATCTCAAGAAAGTGGAGACGCGGCCTACTGGACACAATATCAGATCAAGAGGAGGAGCAGATGTAGGTTAACACCACTCACTATCTAGTGCAAGGAACCTTCCAAATGAAGTTGAAAGCCTTCAAAGAAGTTAGTGATAGACCACAGTTCAAGTTCAACACTCAGAACAGAAAGTGAACTGAAGGAGGAAACTACAAAGGGCATCTTCACGTTAGCAGCCAGGACAAAATGGGAGACATTAAGCCTACGTAGTATAACACTGGAACTCTTTAAAAGAGACGTGGAAGGAAACCTTCATAACCGTGTTATAAAGGAAGAAGAAGCAAGATAAGGAATGGATTTCCAGGGATACATGGAAGCTGACAGCGAGGGGAAAGGAAGATAGTGAAGCAGATGAACCATTACAGTGCAGTGCAGGGATGAACAACGTAAAGAGTAACTGAACACAACCTTTAAAACACTACACTGGAAAAAGAACGGAAAGACAAAAGATACTTCTACGACACATTGGCAAGTGAAACAGAACAGGCTGCATGTAGAGGAGACAGAGACCTGACAACATTATATCAAATAACCAGGTTACTATCCGGGAAGAGATCAACTCAGACGTAGCCAATGAAAGATAGTTAAGGAAACCTAGTTACGAAAGAGAGAGGAGAAACAAAGGAAACAATGGACTGATCATTTCAAAAATCTCTTGAATCGACCACCACCTCCAACTCGTCCAGAAATACCACCAGCAACCGCAGAACTACCAGTGAACACAGGCCCTGTGACAAAAGCAGAAGTCCTAAATGCAGCAAAACTGCTGAAATCCTGGGAAACAGTAGGACCAGATGGAATTCCTCAAAAAGCACTGAAAACAGACTCAGAGACAATAGTGGACATGCTCACACCACTATTGCAGAAGCTTTGGAAGGAAGGGAAGGTACCTGGCAGTTGGAAGAAGGGCTATCTTGTCAAACTGCTGAAGAAGGAAGACTTAAGTATCTGCAAGAACTGGGGAAGAATCATGCCTCCGCCCACCCCAAGCAAAATACTTAGCCGCATCATCCTGGAGAGACTCAAGGATGCTCTGGATTCAAAATTACAACCGAAACAGGCTGGCTGGATTCAGGAAGAACAAATCATGTGCAGATCAAATTGCAACGCTGCGCTGCGCATCATCATAGAACGGAGCGTAGAATGGTAGTCAACTCTCTGCCTCAACTTTATCGATTTTGAAAAGGCCTTTGACAGCATTGACCGAGAAGTAATTTGGCAGTTGCTTCAACACTACCGAGTACCACAAATCTTTATCATCCTCATTCAACAGCTATATGAAGACGCCACATGCCAAGTAATTCACAGTGGGTAGCTCAGTGATGCCTTTGAAGTGAAGACAGGAGTAAGACGAGGCTATCTACTATCACCGATCATCTTCCTGATTGTGGTGGACTGAATCATGCTCCTATGAGCTCCTAGGCTCTAGATAGGCTAAGGATGCTTGGTTATCACTTATTTTGTCGCACTACGTTCACTGAAGTGGGTTTATGCTGGAAAAAATTAGGATGTATCCAGATCAAAACGTGGCAACAGTTCATCATATCTCTGACTTGTTCTAAGCAACATACGGCAATATAGACTTCAAGGTTGGGGGCTACTTTGCAGCCAGCCAGACAATAAAAACATTTCTGTGAAACAGTTCAAGTTACCACGCCTCCTACCATCAGCACACCAAGTGAGAATGCACAAAAATGCAAGATGAAGAAATAAAGAAAAAAGCTGTCGAAAGTGGTAGAAAGTCATCACAAGAGAGCAGGGTGAAATGAGAGAACACTTGAATTTCAGTATGACGATTAAAATGAGTGTAATGTGTGGATACATCTGCACCGTTAAGATAGACTCTGAGCCGGTATCACCTAGAGTCTCAAACCGCTAGTTTCTTTTTTGACAAGGATCGCATCCGGGAAGCCTACAATTCCCTATACGGCAGTTTCTTAACCAATATTGGTGATTCGAGACTCGATGGGATATGTCTAAGCATGGAGGTCAGTGGCGTAGATGCACCCGAACGTTATCTTAATCTTCATACTGAGTTTCACTATTGTTTCATTCCTTCTTGTTCTCTTCTAACAACCCTGTACCAGTTTTGATTACTTCCTCGTTTATTTCTTGATCTCTCATTTTCCCCACCTTCTTGCTTGATGTGACGATTTTAGGTGTGAACCGTTACGCTGTAATGACAGGTCTCAGGTTGATGCTGACTGTCTGATTGAAGAATACAACTGTTGAGCTAAGCGCAAGATCTCAATAATAGCATTCGGGAAACTGTCTTCCTATTATAACCCTAACTCGATGATAGCGATTGCAAAAAAGTAGACTAGGGTAGTGCAGAAAGTAAACTATTGATGAAGCATATGGGTCTTTTATTTCCACTCAAGAATTTATTTCAATGGTGTTGACTGATTGTGTAAGCGACACTGAAAACTATCCAAGTCATACACATCCACACACAACTTCATTGTTATACCAACTTATTAGTTAGAATTTCTTTTGTACATTTATTTGTTGAATAGACACTTACTGCATAAAATATTATCATCATGTGATAGAGAGCATAGAAACATTTTCAGTACGTACTGCTATCGTTGTTTCACGTATTTTATACACCTGCTGATATCAGTCATTACAATAAATGAGTTTAAATTTGTTTTTGTGTACTGCTTAAATTGTATTACGATACACAGTTATCTATTTGACTGAAAGTGAAATGAACTAATCAGCATGTTGTTTGTTTTAACTACTGTCAATAATCTTATCCTATACAATAATAATGACATTCTCTTCCTCCCTGTCATTCTTCTGTGATCTACTGCTTTTTTCCTCTTGTCATTCTACAAAAAGTGCATTTCTTCTGTAACTTTTTTTAGAGTAAAACATTTATTAGACATTGTTTTACTTTAACTAGGCAACTAAAGAAAAGGCTAGTCGTTCTCGGTGAAAATATTTGGTATAGTCATGGTTCCAAAGACTGGTATTATTGATTACGAGGTGATCAATTAAGGTAAACTGGCAACCTGAATCGTCGCAGGATAATTTCACTAATAATCATTCTGATTCTTCCACCCCGTCCCCTCGAATTGAACTCGATTTGAACTACAACGAGATCTAGTTCAGCAGTTAGTGGGATTAAGACGAATGGATAGTTACATATCACGCATCCACGTGACAGCCAGGTAGAGGCTTTGACGTACCAATTTCTCTTAAAAACTGGTGTCAGTTCTGGCATTGAAGAGATATCTGACTACCTGTTAAAGAACAAGTATACTGCACCGTAGTCCGTTCTTTCCTATCATACTGCTATGATATATGGGCATCAAGAGTAGTGGACATGTAGAGATTACAGTTCCTTCACCACAGGTGTCTTCTCAGCATTGCTCATGTACGGTTGAATCACTGTGCGAGTACTGTCAAGTTTAGACGAAGAGTACTAGACAAGACAGGTTTGTAACTCGATGAGATCGTGAACCTTCATCGATTGAAATGACTTAGACTTGTGTTACGCGTGCTAAACTACTACCTACCTCAACATGCAGTGCTACCAGAAGTTGGATTAGGTTAGGAGATGGTTCAAGGTGGCCACACCAAGACTTAGCACCAGTCGATGAAGTCTCTGATTGTTAATCCGAACCTCATGGGGAGGTGCACACTCCCTAGCTTGGTTCCCTAAGATAATAGGAGCCAATGGTTGGAGACCCTTGGTGATATGACTGGATATCTAACGTGTGAACATTTTCACTAACCTTCCCTTTTAAATTCCTTTTCCTCCCATACACTTTTGTCTACTTTGTGTTCAATCTCTTTCTATCTACTTATTCTTTGGATGTCACTATGAATTATGGTAACTGGAGCTGATGTGCTTGTGTACGAGGTTCTGGTTTGATTTAGTCTGTCCTTTTACTTATCGTGTTGATTTTATTTTAGAATTTATTTGCTTGTAGAATTTTGGTCTTCCTAATACTACTCAATATCTGTAACCAAGTTATATATGTTCTGACGAAATCATACTCCAGGCTGAAATTATTTTCCAACTGATTGAAGCACAGTAAAGAATTAATGTATTCTAACAGAAGAAAACATGTATGTGTGTTCAACATGCTAAGTTTTTAACGAATAAGTGAAATATATGCTGTTGCGATATACACTACTGACTGTATCCACTCATTGTAGACTATCCATGTCAGTTAGTAATACTGGCTAATCAGAATTAGGTGATTTTTGCGACAGACGATTGTTTTGTCCACTTTACTCTGATTTCACCATTAGTATATCCTATTTCATCCATCTGAGACAACCATATTCTAATCGGCTACTTGAGTCGATTGGTGATGCAACGAATCTAATTAAACATTTTTAGGAAATGCACAATCTGAGATCAGGATGTCGCAGCTAGGTGAGATTCAATAGCGAAATTTTACTATGGCCTTTTGTAGAAATTAAAACGTGGTTGTCCCAGGAATGCACTTCCTATCAGATGTTCATGATGTTTCTGAGTAAATTTTCTCCTCGTTATTAAGCATTTGTTTTGTTCATAACCTGATTTTCATTTATTTTTTTTTACTTATCTCCCTTTAAAAAATCCCACTTCAGCGTATATGATGCCATGAATTCAGAAACTCATGCTTCAAAGTTGATGGGGGGTAGATCAAGAGATAATATTGTAATTGATGATGCAAGCGACTTCTCTGATTCATGTTCTGAATTAGATAATGATGAAGGGAAAAACAATCCACTTCAACGACAAATAAAAATTAATTCAATTCCTCCTAGTAATGATAATGTTGCTTATGCAAGTACCTCTGTTCTAAGTGGATTACCTAAACCAGTTACATCACAGTACCCCACTTCTCTGCCTGACATGACAAAGATGATGACAAATAACCCACCTATATCACATCATCATCCTGGTTCAGATTCACAGGCAGGAAATTTATCATCAGGAAGAGAAAGATCTTCCATTCCCCTTCATTACCTTGCTACATTACGAAAAAAATCAGCAACAATCGATGATAATGATGATGATAGTGGTGCTGTTAATCATAATGATAGTTGTAATAGACTGTCTAAACAAGAAAAGCCCTATACTGCACCTTTAGCTGAACCAGAAACTGCGTCTATTGTACCTCCAGCTAAATCAGGATTATCGTCTCGACCAACGTCGTCCACATCATCATCTTTAAACCAAATGCCTGGATCTTTGAATGGTCAAATGCCGACATTAAAACAGAATCTACTAACTGCCAAATCTATTAGTAATAATCCTGGAAAAAATAACAATAATAGTAAATATCCTTCAGTAAATGGTAATGTCCATTCTAATTGCTTAGATTCTAATCGTGGTCATCAGACATTGATATATTCACAAATGGAATCTTCATACAACTATTCAGGGGTAAAAAAATCACATCAAAGTCTGTATGATCAGAATAAAAATATGTTGAAAAATCATGAACAGCAAAGACTTTGGCTTTCACAACAGCAAGAAGAATCGTCACAGTTTCATCAACAGAAACAGAGACACCAAAATTCATCACCTCAGGCACTGAACAACAGTGAGTCAAGTTCTACAATATCTGCTAGTAGTCATAATAATCAGTATAGGAAGTCATCGACACAAGAGTCATCACAAATTGTTGCTATCGGTGATTGCAGCTCCTTATACTCATTTACAGGTAGGATATTATTATATTTCATGATTTTGTCTCCTTTCTGTAATTTATGATCATAGTGACTGACAGTGTTTAGAAACGATGCATACTTTTGTTGGGTTGAAGTTCATTGAACCACTGGCTGATTTGATGATTTATACTTTAACTTTGAGGCTAATACGTGTAACAGAATAAATTTTGTTATTTTGGCTATCTGAGATAGCCCTAGTTTAGCAGGCTATTATTGATACTGGGTGATGATTGAAGGTGAAATGAAAATTTGGACCGGGACCTCATTCGAACCAGCAACCACTTGGTTTCCGACCCGATGCTCTGCCAACTAACCTGCGAGGTCTTCGTAAATTTTACAAGATATTCACTTGGCGACACACTATCGTCATTGAAATAGCCTTCATAGTCTTTTGGAATACAACAATATTGAGTTCCAATATCTTGCTGCTGTCATTTTGTATGGCATCGATGTAGTCAGTACTGAACAAAATGTGATAGGTTTCTCACTTTATCCCATTGAATTTTACTTGGAATGGTGACACATTTTCTTCAAGAGCGATCAACATTGATTTGAATTCTTTATACAAGTAAAACCTCAGCAATCATGTGAATATGCATGCACCAAGCAATGGACTGCACCTATTAGACTGTGATTAATTTTGCTACCTGGCTACCGGAACATCAGTAGATGGGGTAGAATTCGAACCTAAGGATCACTATTAGTTAAAAGTCATCAATGAGCCATAGCTCTTTGAAATGGAAGAATTTCCATTGACCACTAACGAATAGTCAGTTCATATAGATGAGTACTGCATATATTTGAGTTTGGATAATGTTTGTTTTACGGTGGTCACTCTCTCTTTGAATTCTGTCGAAAGTACTGAAAAACAATCACAAGCTGTCTACATGTTAACTGCTTAGTATTAGAGTTGTTAGCAAGATTAATTGGATGTTTAAGACATAAACTTTACGAGCGTTAAAATTTATTTCACAAGAATGTACAGAAGCTGGAACTTTAAACCATACCATAGAAAAATATTTCGAATTGATGCGATATTTCTTTTTATTCAATACAAAATAATGTATCCTTGTGTACTGTAGAAAATAAACGAGGATAATTTTTAATTATACTCTACCATAAAAGAATTTCTATCCTTCCGTTTCAATATGTCTTGAAGACAATTAGCATCAATAAGCTTTTGGTCATTTGTTTTAAAAGTACAAGAACAACTTGGTGAGATGACTTGAAAGCTGAGTTTTTCTTTGAGTATATGATGTACTGTAATAGTACACTTAAAAGCCAATTTAGTATATATTTCAGTCATTCATTCAAATGAAATGTTAGATCGCTTCCCCTTGTGTTATCATATTTAACAATGTAAAAGAAATGCTTCTAAAAGTACTGCTGAAGAAGCTGTGGCATACACAGCGAAATGTTCAGAAAAATCTTGTTTTCAATTTTCTAAACACGTTGGGATGATATTAAAACGTACCCATATAATGTATGAATCATATCACTGCAACGGTAAGTAGGATAATGTAAGCTGCATATCACCTAACGGGCGAAATATGAGTTTAACGAATGATTATAAATGTCATTCTACGAATTATTGAAATAATTAGTTAGTTTCCTTTATTTTAGCTGCAATGGTAATTTTTCTATAAGTTGATAAATTCTAATTTATATCAGTGATCGGTGAGTTGACCTTCGGAGTGAGTTAGCAAACTATTACAAGTGACTTTGAAGATCACTCAAGCAACTACTGAAGAAAAAAAACACTCTACCTTTCTATACTGGGTGATGATTGAAGGCGAAATGAAAATTTAGACCGTGGCCGGATTCGAACTAGCGACCACCGGGTTTCCGGCCAGATAATCTACTAATTTAACCTTGTAGCTCAGCCAGTAGAGCATCGAACCGGAAACTCGGTAATCGCTAGTTCGAATCTGGCTGCGATTCAAATTTTCATTTCACCTTCAATCATCACCTAGTATAAATACTAGTCCTCCACACCTTTAGCACTGTCATGAAACTATGATTTAATTTCTGACTGAATTTCTGAATACAACTGAACTGGCCTATGATTTCCAACATTTAAGAGTCGTCGATCCAATTGAACACAAGATGAAATATTCACAACTCTTTGACTAGCAGTTCTCTTGTTTTTAGATATGTAATTAATGCATTTATACAACCAAATAATAATAATAGGTTCATGACATCAATAAATTACATATATATGCAACAAAGCCATTTATTGGCTATAATAAGTTTACATACAATTAATTGCCTTTTACTTGTCAACAAAGAGCTCCTGTAAAACATTTACAAAATGCATACTATGAAATAACTTTTGAATTAAATTCCAATGTGATAATTTACTCAAATATATATGACTAAAATTTACATATTCGTTTCTTTGGTCTGTTTTACATAGCACTTTATCATGACCATAGAATTCATTGATTAGTCATGAGTGCGGACCAAATTCTTTCCATTACTTTGCAATGTGGCCGCCAAGTTATGAAGCTCATCATTCATCACTCTGCACCGCGATGCTGAACCTAATAGTTTAGTGACTACATTTCACAAATGATCGATAGAATCCGGTCAGCACTCATGACTAAACAACATGAGATTGGTTGGTCTCCCGTGACCAATCATCAACGTATGTAACGCAGCCCTACAGCAGGTCAGTCTTGGCACGATTAGTTCAGTGTTAATATCTCTGACCCACAATACTGGGTGACACGTGTTTGAATCCCAGGTGGGACATCAGTTTTTTTAAAGTTGGAGATACGCCTTACTGACGGGTGTCAGAAAGCGCAAAACGTAGGTTAAGAGCTTCCTGCTGATTAACATTTAGATCATAAAATTGTTTTTAACAGAATTTGACTGGATTATTTTCAACATGTTACTCTATGATTCCTACTGCGATACATAAATCAGTCAACTACAGCTTCAGTTACACGTACTGTTGAGAAATCATTGTTTGAGAATGAACACATCCCTGGTTGACATTTCATATCATTCATTCATAAATAATAAAAGCGTGTGCTTAGCTGCAACAGGTTCTGCAAAGAATTCACATAGTTATTAGTTCAATTCTCTTTTAATATTAATTAGTACATATTCATTTGACAAAAGTTTCACTATGCGTTAGTCTGTTGTCTTTAAGTCATATAAAGTAGCAGTGAATAACGTTTTTCATATGAGTAATGGTTAGTGGCTAGAAGTGTAATTTAGGACACGCGTTTCGTCCTGTTTGGAACTCGTCAGCTGGATGTACCTACACCCCAGTGAGTTATGTTGTTCCAACTAGGACTCGCACTGGGGTCCGATCGCTTCAAACACCAGAGCGTAATCCACTGGACTATGGAGTCACGATAGTCACATACTTTTTGTGCGATGGGTATAGTTTTAATGTTCTTGCTTGTATTATCCCGTTGTTGAACTAACCATCAATATCGAGGTACCCACTCAGTAGCCCATATGCCAATAATGATCGATCAATTCGGTCCACTCAATGATGGGATAATATAAGCAACATTACAAACGTTGTTTGTTCAATTATTATGTGAATTTCCATGGACTATCAGTTACTACTATACATGGTTAGATCACACTTGTAGAGATTGTAAATAGTATAGTATTATAACCACGTTCATGTAATTAACAAGTCAAAATACTTTAAATGATCTATAAAAAAGGTGAAATCATGAGGACACTTTTTTACAAAGTATCCATGAAATTGTAGTAACACATGAATTCGTTAAGTGAGTACTATGCCTCTGAAAATTAATTGTATAAGTGACTAACGTGAAGTAGTTGAAATTTAATATGATACAATCATTTACAAAAAAATGACCTATTAAGCATAATTTATTATTATTGTACAGTTTTGTATTGGACACCATGAGTTACAGCTTTTATTTGAATAGCTACTTAAACTCAAGTAGTATTAACAATAGTAATTCTCATTTGAACTCATGATCCGATAGATGAGATGTGGATTAAATACTGATGACAATAAGATAAAGTCTCATACTGTTAGTAGAACTGGTCATAAAAAAGGGATTGTAGAGGAGAGGAATCAAGTAAGGCGATCATTATTACGGTTTATGTTTGAAATCTTGTTTTTTTCAGTGCTAAATCACTATTTATGTGTAAGAGTTAAGATTTAAGTAAAACAAATACTTGTTTTAAGGAATCACTCTCCAAGTCTTATACCTAAATTCTAATCCATACAGTAGTGGGGTAGTGTCAGGATTTCTCTTTAAATGGATCCAGATAGCTGATTTATTAAGTCTTATACACTATTCATTTAACATGTATCCAAAAACTTATGAATACCTTTGATTTGGAACCAAAGGTTTTCAACTTTTCTAGCAGAATTCTTTGTATAGTCCTAATCCCCTCACAGACGGTAAAAGTTTGTTTTCACATTTAAACGTGAGCGTGAATGCATCCCTGCAGGCCCCGAGTACAATAAAGAGCGAGCACAACTTAAAAGTAGATTGAGAACAAGTCTACACGATGACCGCGAACAGTAATGGGCAGTGACGGCTAAACAGATAGAAAAGGCAGCGGCGATTGGTAAAAGTAGACAGTTATTTAGACTTATTAAAAACTGTGGGGAAAAGATCAACAACAGTTAGTGAAGCAGTAGCGGAGAAGGACGGATCTGAGATTCACTCTCAGGGGAGACGACTGGAACGATGGGTAGCACACTTCGACGAACAGTCTAACTGGCCTCCATCCACCATTGCGTTGCCCGCTATCCAGTAAGATCCTGAACAGAACACTGAAATAGGCCCCCCAACACTAGGAGGAGTTGAGAAAGCAGTAGGTAACCTGACACCAGGAAGGGCAGCAGGACCATACGGACTAACTCCAGAGGTATACAAGTATGGTGGTAAGGTGCTGTTAGTCAGGTTGACGGAAGTGCTAACCAGTATATGGGAATCATATACGATCCCCTCTGACTGGTCTAAATCACTGATTATCCCAG